TAACATAATATATAACAAATATCACAAATATTAGTAATTCGAGTAATTCGATTATGTTATGATATTATTTAATACTATATACTTACGTAATATTTGTTTAATCACATAATATATTACATTATTATATTATATTATTACGGTAAATTATTATTTTTATTGATATTATTTTATATATTATTTGATATTATCATATAAATTATAAGATTCAAAAATTTTATAAATATATATAATATTTTCATATAATAACATTTTCCGTATTGATTACAAGTTTGAGTTCCTAAATGATGGTCGATCCTCGTTTGATGAACCAATGTATAGTTTTGCACCTTGAGACCAAACCCATCATAGGTTACAAAGGTTCATCAACGTGAAAAAATCAATTCTTAGAAAAAAAGAAAAAGTTTTCAAACAAAACGTGAATTTGTTCATTTAGTGTCCAATCAACGTGTTAGGTGTTAATCTTAGTTTGTTGTGCCGTCATCTGTTCATCCTTCCATAGATCGTGTTTGTAATATAGAGAAAGAGAAAAGCCAAATAAAAGCATCGAGAACTGCTAATATAGAAGTTAAAACCCTCCTCAAAGTCAGTTTCATTAAGGTTGTGTTCACTTCTTGGTAATTTACTGTTCAAACTAATTTGTGCATATGGATTGAAGAATGAAATGATGTTCGTTTTGAGGAAATTGCAAACAATGAAATGCGATGATTTGCAGGATAATCACTTTTTGTATCAGATGTGCGAAGATTTGAAAGGATTTAATATGAAATTTCATCTTTACCATCTTGTAATTTGATAATTTCCAATTTTACATATGTATGAAAATATAACTTGCTGGATCGATTCCAAGTAAAAATATTTGATTCCAAAACAGTGTTTGATGAATTTTAAGAATCTAATGAACCAAAAATTCAAACAACGGACCTGCATGCATTAAATAATAATAATAATAATGAAATTTTAAAAATTAATTTTTTTTTCTCTTTATAATGATTTTTACAATTATATATAATATTAATAATTATTATTTTATATTACTTTTATTACTAAGGATATTTTGGTAATCTTCAATCTCTACTAGTTAAACAAATTTTTTTTATCTTTCATATCAATCAAATCCTACACTAGTTTTCATACACCTCCGGTCTCATTTACCTCCAAATCTACTCAAACAAATAACAATTAATTCACCCTCAAATCCCCTCAAATCCATCCGCTCACTCTCTCCCAATTCCTCTCCCCCAAGTGAACACACCCTAAATATTCTTTAAGAACATTTCTCAAAATATATAAAATATGTCATAGAAAGATTTTTTCAAAACAATTTTTTTTCATGGTTTCTGTCTTACAAGCGTGAAGGGTGTTGCTCCCTCCACCACCCCAAGTGCTCCTGCACCTCCCCGCTATTTCTTTTATTCCACAAATACTCTACACCTCCCTACTATTTTCTTTTATTCCAAAAATATCCTACATCTCCCCATTATATTCAACAATCTTTCTCTTTCTCTCTCCACGTTAATGAGCATTCATATGGCTCAAATTTAAACTTGTGATCTATTGCAAAATTTTATTTACACTTTTCTTAATAAGTTTGATTCAATCTTATTTTCAACTGTTCAATATATTTTTTTTTTCTCTTCAAATTATTAATAAATGGTAAAATTTTGTTCTAAAATTTCTCGAAAAAATGTTTAATTATATATATGTGTGTGTTTTTTTTAACATTTATCTATAATTTTTTAACATTATTTATGTTTTAACTTATCAACATGTTTGACACTCAAATAACTTGAATAACGTATTTAATTTATTTAATAAATAATATAAAAATATTATTAAATACTTAAAATATAAAAGAAAAGTTAAGTTTTGTTCCCTCTTTGCCTTTCTTTCGTTCTTTCGCCTTCTCCCGTCGTCTCTCCTCCTCCTCCTCCTCCTACCCCTCCTCTCTTGTTATCTTCTTCCCTCCTTCTTCTGTTTCTTCTTTTGTCCTTTGCCTCTCCCTTATTCCGTTATCTCCCCCTGGCCGTGGTCTCCGCTTCCTCTTGCCGTTTCCTCTGCTTTTCTTTTTGTCCTCTCTCCCGCGTTTCCCTCTACGCCATCTGCCTGCTTCCTTCCTTTCCCGCTTTCACGCCCCTCTTGTTGCCGCTCGTGCGCCGGTGTCCGGTCTTTTTCAACATCCCCCCCAATAGTAAAAAAATGTTAAGTCTTTTTGGATCAAGGAGAAACAGAAACACTTTAAAGGTAGTAGAGGAAGCAACACCAAAGATGTGGCTAGTAATTACGAGAGGCAAGGAACCAATAACATGAAGGCTGTTTCTTCTGCACCCGTAGAGTTTCTTCAGGCACCCACCATATATGTAAATTTCTGAAACAACGATAATTCTAGGAATATATTTCAGAAAATACTCATTCATAATATTACGGATTTTTTTGCTGAAGTATATGTTACGCCTCCGTTCCGATACCAAATTCCCACCAACCACCTTTTCAGATAAAAAATTCCGAAAGCCTATATTTTTGTAATGGGGTGCAAGAAGAAATATGATAGATAGCAGAAAGAAACAACTTAATGTAACATTATCTATCCAGTGAGTATTGTAAGCAGTACAAATTGGGAAGCCCATTTCACATACAAATTTTATACTTTCTTTCATTTAAATAGAACACATTTCACAAAAAGAAAGCAATTTCATCCGTTTATAGCATTACAGTTAAAACTTTATTAATGACTAAAAATCATAACATGTATTTTATCTATGGAAAAGTCTTGTGAAGAAATATTTTCTTGAGTGTTTTAATTTTCTACATGTTGAATATTCTGATCTAAAACCATGTTTTTAGTATTTTAGATATACTTGTGTATCTTCACGAAAATACTAAGTTATTGTGTCTGGGGAATGCTGTCGACACGTAGAATAATTGTTTTCATTGAGTAATTGGAGTATTGGACTTTCTACATACTAAAACCCTTTTCAAAATCATTATATGGAGTAAAAATTTAGAAAATTCAAACATTTCAAAATAAATTGCAAAGTTTCGGTCAAAGCAAACTCAACTCGACCTTCAATTAGACCAACTCAACTAAGTTTTCAATCGGGGTTTACTGGACTTGACCTCGCCCTGGTCAAGCTTCACACAAGTGACTCATCTCGACCTTCAACCAGGATCGACCTGTCTTACCCTTCGGCTGGATTGACCTGTCTCACCATTTACTTGTTATTCACCTTGGGCCGACACGCCTTGCCTTTTTTTTCTTCAGAATATTGAAAATCCAAGTATGAATCTAAGTCTCATATTGGGTAAATATGAGAAAAGTTTAGAACCATAAACTCGTTACTTTAATGTTTTTGGTTTCAAAAGTGATGTTAATCATTTTGTGTGGTGAACTCATGTCCATCAGTACTGTGTCTTCCTAATGAATCTTTCCCTCTTGATAGACTCATAAATGATATCATAATTAATGGTTAATCTTAGTGATCGACTCATACAAGTACAATATGGTTCATGTATCAAAAATTTTATTGAAAGGTTTCAGTAAATTTATCAGTTACATGAACAACGTATAAAAGGTTCACGTAGTTAGGAATGTTTTCTTCCTTGCGAGAAGGAAGTATACTCTGGAAGAGACTCATCATTGTGGGGGAGATTGTTTAAAATTCAAGTGTGAGTTTATTACCATGCCCATAAACTCATTCTTAAGAATTTTGTATGGAAATGGTGGTAGATCTCTATGTGAGTTTGGGCTTGGATTCATTTGTGTTGTTTCTTCACGTGTGAATTCTCTATTAGATAGCCCTATCACAGGATGACCCGTTTCGTCCTTCCATTTAGTCGACACATACCGGCCCTTCTTTTTGTGATGCTATCCTCGATATTTAACCTGAACTAGTCATGTTGAAGCTTTGGCCTGTGATAACCTGTCTCGACTTCAATATATGATAATTAGTCTCCGACTTTTAATTCATGTTGTTTAGTAGTTAATTGAAGTATTGTAGTAATATAATTCACTTTGACTCTAACTTTAACCCTTTTAAAAGCAAACTTTATCGAGCTGAGGTATTTTTGACTCACTCATTAAGTGATTCTATAAAAAGAAGACTTATTTAAAAATGAGTTAGAACTCACTTACAAATTGATACTTTTACAAATTTTTTGTTTCCATTTTTTTATTAAGCAAAATTTCTATTACTTAAAAAAAATATATCATAAAACATTATACAACAACCTAAAAACATCCAAAAAACTTACCAAAACTTGTTCCATCTGTTTTAAACGTCCTTACAACTTTAAACGTAAGTTAATAACATACTCTAATGTTTCAAAAATCAGACATCACTAATCTAGTTTAAAATTGGTTATCCGAAATCTAAGAATAATAAATGATCATCATAATCCAAATCACAGCATATTAATTTCAAAAATAACTTTGAACCATCAATATATAATGTACTTTAACCATAGATTTCAAAACCCAACCAATCAAAGTATTCATAAATAAAATATTAATATTAATTATATACAAATTGTTGTTCCAAATTCAAAATCTATAATATCAAGTTAATTTGTGATCTATAATCATCACAATTTTCTTAATTTTCAATTCGAGAATCAAAGTTCATACCAAATCTAAAATGAACTTAAATAGTAAATTTATCGTTTTCTATTTATTTACTTTGGAGCCCACTTTTTCTATTTCTTAAAAATATATTCTTAAATAATTCATAGCCTAACTGATAAATTGTAATTGTAATTAATACTAGGAAGGGCGAAGTAAGTAGCAATGCTTGTACCAAACACTAGAGATGGACATAGGCGGTGTCCGTACCCGCACACCAAACACGATATCGAAGAGCGAAGGGTGGTGGGTAGGTGGTGGCCACTTGCATTTCTCACCTTTCATAATTACACCCCACTGCCACCAAACCAAACCATACACCAACCTCCTTTTTTCCTCAACTCAACAACCAAACTTGATGGATCACATCATATCACTGTGATTGTTTTGTTCCTCATTCAATCTAATTTCTCTGTTGGGGCGTGTTACGAATTCCAGTTTCAATGGCGTCTCTCTTCTCTCCTCCACCAACCCATTCTCACCGACGCTACTCTCCGCCTTCGCTTCTCTCTTCCGATCTTCTCGATCTCTCTCCCCCGGTTACCTCCGACTCTCGCTCCGTCCTCGTCTTCCCAAGAGACTCCGTCAGTCGCCTCTCTCTCTGTCCATTAATGTTTTCATTTTCTACTATCCTTAGTTTTGCGTTTTTTGTTTTCTTCGCTTATATTTTAATTTTATTGTTTTACGGTGATCACTCGGAGTTAATTTTTCAGACTAAATCACTACTAGATCTGATCCGCGTTTTTTTTTTTGCGTGTTTTCTCTTTTTTTGTTCGTTCATTTGATTAGCTGAATCGATTTTATACTGCTGTATATTTCAAATCGTTCGCTGAATTCGTGCATCTAGGTGTTCTGGTATCGGTTGTAACTTGTGCAAGGAATGCGGTGTGACATTGTTATTAAGTAATTCGTGTAAGAATTTCTGAAACAAATCGTTTTAAATGAAATTGGAGTCACCTTCTCAAATCTCCGTCGTTTGTCTTGCATACCTTCTGGTGCCGCTGCTATTTAATTTCTATGTTCACAAGTTCAATGTAGGTGTAGTCTGAATTTTTCCTTTTGTTTTTATATCTTCTTTTAGCTGCTAGGAACTAATATTTCTTAAAACCATGTTTTTTTTTTTTCGGTTTTCATTATAATTTTCAAATTCATACAATAGTAGGATTGAGTTATCCGAAAACGCAACGATTAAAGGATTGGTGTGTTCCGAAGCCACGTTACATTACATGTTAAGAATTCTAAAGTAACAAGGGAATGGTTTTTAACTTTCTTTAGAGTGTTGACCTATTACAGAGGATACGGGCTGGAGTACATATGGGAATCACTTTCGTGTGACTACATACGGAGAGTCTCATGGAGGAGGTTTGGCTGTGTCATCGATGGATGTCCTCCTCGTATACCTCTCCTCTCGACAGAGTTGCAAGTGGATCTTGACAGAAGTGTACCTGTCTCTTAAATCATCTATTATCTCTTTGAACCACTACGACTTTGTGTTTGGAATTGAAAATCTGTGTCTAAACTGCTATTTAGGGAATTGACATTTATGAATGATGTAGTGGTTGCTTCTGATGCACATCTCTTCAAAAAATAATTGCGTGATTTCTCATGTATAGGAGGCCAGGTCAGAGCCGATTACTACTCCTAGAAGGAGACTGATACATGTAAAATATTTTCAGGAGTCTCCGAGTGAATATTTCTTCCGATTATCTCTTTAGCTTGGAAAACTTTATGTTTCATGAAAAAAGGTTTGAAGTACAATCTGTTAATTGCAGGACTTACCACTGGAACTCAATTCATGTATTTGGTACCCAATACTGATCAAAGAGGAAATGTGAGTATTTAAAGCTATAGTTTGTTTATGAAAAGCAAAGAAACTACTATCATAATTCAAGCTGATAAAATATTGTACTATGGGAAACTTTTTCAGGACTATAGTGAGATGTCATTAGCTTATAGGCCTTCCCATGCAGATGCCACCTATGACATGAAGTATGGTGTCAGATCAGTTCAGGTGCTGACTTTTCTATTGTAATGAGGCCAACATTTTTTTAATGGGATATGTATATGTAATAAGCTCATACATCTGAACTCTATTATGTTTAAGGGTGGTGGTAGATCTTCTGCAAGAGAAACAATTGGAAGGGTTGCTTCGGGTGCTGTTGCTAAGAAAATCCTTAAAGATTTTTCTGGAACTGAGGTATGTTACTTGTCTCGTGAGTTTATTCTTCTTAGTCCTTTTTGTTCTGTTTTATAACTGGCCAAGAAGGATATATATTTTAACTTAAGTACATCTTAGCCTTTCTATATCCATGTTTGTATTGTAATTTTTACAAATTCACGGTTTTTGGTTATTTTATTTGCTTCTAGAACTGCATAAACCACATATTGCTACAAGTTTTAGCCGTTAAAATTAATCATGATATAATTGCTCCAAAGTTAGAGGATGCACCCAGTGACCACCAAGACCCTTTCATATGAATTTAACCTTCTATGCAAAAATAAGCAGCATTCTATTTCTAAATTAGATTTATGCATAACGTGTATTGGTGAGGCCTATTAGCTGCAGAAGTCATGTGTGCTAATCCTATTAAACACTGCTATTAAAGGGAAAGACTTGACTTTAAAGAACCTCTGGAGATGTAGATGAATGTGAAGAAGGAAGTTTTAATGATTTTGAGCTAGAAACCAAAAAGATTTAAAATAACACCAGAAGAATCCAAAGGGCTATCCCTTCCCCCTGGATCAGTTGTTGATTCACTTTGAAGTATAAAGGATTTCTGCTGAAACGAAAGTTCCAACTTCCAAGTAAACTTGGACCCTGAATGAAACAAAAGTTCTCAATGGTTATTTATGTACGGAAACCAGATGATAAAGGTGTTAAAAGCCTCTATGAAGGAAACATTCCTCACCCAAAATTCCTTCTAAAACGCAATATGACTATTATCTCCTAAATTTGAGGAAATGGAGATTACGAAACGTGAACCTAAGAAATAAATGTCTAAATGACTAGTTTGAGTTGCAATGATCACTGAGACGACATCCTATTCATCTTGATTTCTATGTCATTTTCATTGAGTGCACATATACTCACCTGAGTTTGATGATTTTAAAGAAACTTACCCTGAGAAATGAACTTCCAAAGACTGACATTGATTGCATCGATCACTAAATTGGCATCCTATCCCTACTGATCATATGTAAGGTCAGCTTGCATCTGTCTGTTATGGCCTAACTTTGCCAGATCAATCTCTGTGTTCTGATTTTCTTTTTACAAAATGAAAATCTTTAGCCCCCAATGGATGGTTGATATAGATATAATAATGTACATACATGTAACAAGTTTTATTTGCCAATTCCTTAAGAAACATTGTAGCTAAAGGTTCCTTATTTTTCAGATTCTTGCATATGTCTCTCAAGTTCATAAAGTTGTTCTTCCAGAGGACGTTATTGATCATGACACTTTGATGCTTCATCAGGTATTAAAGTTAATATTCATTTATGCGTGTACTGGTGGCATAGTGCTTCCTTTGTAAAGCTGTTTGAAGTGAATGTCGTGTATTCTAAACATGGAGATGATTATCTGTTTTACTTTTTGTTTTCTTTAATGGATTTTGAATATATCCGGCTATCAAATATTTTTATTGAGCCTGCTTATTGGCAATGGAATACATTTTGCAATATATGTTTGTTGTTTGATTTAAACTGAAATTTCAACATCCTGAGCATTAACCATAAATATTGGTAAGGTAATGACTTTTACCATTACTAAGGAAATGGGTGATAAATACCTTTACCACCTCAAAGCCAAAGCTGAATTTCAGGTCAATAATATGCACATGCACATATATTAGTCTAGTGCATGAATACAATTGCATAATTAGTGCATGAATAGCTGATGATAAGTTATTGAGAGTTACATTTGAAATCTGTTTATTTTTTAACTAATAACTAAGAAAGTATTCATACTGTCCTGTAAGGATGGAATCTTCCAAATCGATTGCTTATTGTTATATCTTATATCGAGAATACTTTTTGTTGATGTTGCTATCGTTATCATATTTTTGCAATTCTGGAGCCAAATTCGTGGTTTGCCACTTTTATTGAACAGGTGCCATCATACTGTCATGTTCAGAATGCTGTCCTCCCATTTAATTGCTTATTGTTATAACTTATATTGAGATACCTTTTATTGATGTAATTATCATTATTTCAATCTTGCAATTAGAAGCTAAATTCCTGGTTTCCAATTTTTTTGTGGAAAATTTTCAGATTGAGAGTAACATTGTTCGATGTCCAGACCCTGAATATGCAGAGAAGATGATAGCTGCAATTGATGCTGTGCGAGTGAGAGGTGATTCTGTTGGTGGTGTTGTAACATGCATTGTTAGGAACTGTCCTCGTGTAAGTCTTTCCACCTGTCTCTATCAAGCTGAAATAATTTGGCAAGATAGCAAGTAGAGATAAAAGCCATAACAACTGCAAAGGTTTTTATT